TATAATCCAATATTATTCTAATATTTCTCTGTAAAAACTTCATTGCCTGATTTAGTCCGTGAATTATAAGAATTTATTTAAATGACTGTCAAATGTCCAAAGTCACTTTGCTGGTCTCCTTTCCTGTCGTCTCTGTTCTTATCTGTTTTTCCAGCCCAGAGGAATCCTGTGTGCTTCAACACTTATCACGTCCATTCAGCCACACACTGACACAGCTTTAACCATGTAAGGGCCTCAGCTATCCATGGCAGTCTATTATAGGAGGGTAGGAGATAAGATAACACAGGCTATACATAAAACCCTCCATCATCACCTGGATTGGAGTAATCCTACATTCAGACATGGTAAGCCAGTCACTGTTTTTAGTCTTTATGGTGATTTAGGAATCTTGAAGATGCTGTGTATTTAAAAATATTATTTACGTACTGCGAAATCAGTTGTTTTGATCCGTTCAGTGCCCTCTGTAGGATTATATATAATATATACTTTTTTCTTCATCTCAGGCAAGCAAGAAAGCTTCCAACAAGAGGCAGAGGGGAGGACAGAAATCCTCCTCAAATGTCTTTTCCATGTTTGAGCAGTCTCAGATACAGGAGTTCAAGGAGGTAAAGTACTGGCTTATGACACCAATTCCTTAAAAATGAATTCAAATTCATATTTAACTTATTTTTCATTGTTGTTTAAAGCCTACTGCAAGACTAAATAGAAATTTTAAAATGACCTGTTAGTTAAAATGAAATGTTAGTTATTTTAACCAACTTCAAAAGAAACGCAAAGTTCCCAACATCCAAGAAAAAGCATCAGGTTTTCACTTTTTTTATCCTCTGTCTGAAAGAAATGTGTTCAAAGTATTTCTAAACGTATTGACAGTTGGCCTCTAAATGTGTTATTTATTAAAAGTAAAACATCATTTTTCAGTTATAAAACTCTTTCTATGATTCAAAAATAGTTATGTGCCACAGATGTGTTCTTCATCCTACAGGCGTTTGGTTGCATTGACCAAGACAGAGACGGTGTTATCAAAAAACAGGACCTGAAGGAAACTTATGCACAACTGGGTAATTTCTGTACTTCCAACATTTGATCTTTTCCATATTTCAAAGGTGGAAAATAGGTATAAACTGATAGCAAATAAACTACAATAAGTGAAAGCTGTAATGATGTTGACCTGCTACTGTTACTGCATTTAGTAAATGTATATTGGCATGTCTCTGTGTGTTTTTGTGTACCAGGGAAGCTAAATGTCAAAGAGGAGGAGTTGGATGAAATGTTGAATGAAGGGAAGGGTCCCATCAACTTTACTGTATTTCTGACACTTTTTGGGGAGAAACTCAATGGTGAGAGATTTACAGATGTTCAAAGAGATCTTTGAAATTCCTGTGAGGTGCTTTCAGGTGATGGAGAATTATATTTGATCTTCCTCCAGGTACTGATCCTGAAGACACCATACTAGCAGCCTTCAAACCTTTTGATCCTAATGGGACAGGCTTTGTTAATAAGGATGAGTAAGAACTCTTATCAATTAGCTTTCACGTTGTTCCGTGTGACCCATAGCATTATAGCAGGGGTCTTCAACTGCAGTCCTCGAGAGCTACTCTCCTGCAGCTTTTAGATGCATGTTGAATTACCTCTTTAGTATGCTATCAGGTGTGGCAAAGCCCTGGTAACAAGCCATTTATTTGATTCATGTGTGTTGGAGCAAGGATGCACCTAAAAGCTGTAGGATAGTACCTCTCAAGGACTGGAGTTGGAGACCACTGCATTAAAGTATCTTATTTTTCCTCTCCTTTAACATTTATTTATTTTTATTTAGATTTAGACGACTACTGATGAATCAGGCTGATAAATTCACAGCAGAGGAGGTTTGTGTTTTCAACTTTGTGTTTTGTTTTTGACAGATTCTTATATAATTTTTAAGATATTTTCAGTGGACAAACTTTCTCTTTATAAACCTACAGGTGGATCAGGCCTTCGCTCTCGCTCCCATAGATCCAACTGGAAACATTGACTACAAGTCTCTCTGCTACATCATCACACATGGAGATGAGAAGGAAGAATCATGAACGGCACAGTTGTGTGAAGGCATGTCGTAAAGTCCAACTAAACCCAGCTTACCTAATATAAAAATGCAAATGACTGCTATTAAAATTATATCTGAAAGTATTACACTCTCTCCACCTCATACCTTTGTAAAACAATTGGAAATTGAGAATTTTCTCATTTGTAAGTTACTAATAACGACCAATAAAGTTTTGGCCTCCTCAATACTCTCCTATTGCTTACAAATGCTCATGTTGTTAGGGAAAACTATATATTGAGTAAGACCAAAAATGCTGTAATTCCAAAAGAAATACATCTCCTGCATATGGAAACGGTCAGTACAGATGGTACTTATTTTCATTCCACAAAATATTTTAAGAGATTTTTTTCTATAAAAGAACATAAAGTAATTCCCAAGATGTCTGTGAAGCTTCTCAGTCATCCAGGTCATCGTAGTCTAAGGAGCTTGGAAAGAAAAGCGTCTGGACTTCTTTGAGTTGCTTGAAGACGTTTCACCTCTCATCCGAGAAGCTTCTTCAGTTCTAAGGTCAAATGGTGGAAAGTCCCAGATTTAAACCCAGTGGGAGTTTCCCCC